TTCAGGGCTAGAGAGAGCAATGGTGGCTGCTAATTCTCCTTCACTTTCTCTTGCGTAAACGGTGCAAAATGGTATGATTAGAAGTTACTGTGTTGCTGCCAACAATTTGTCCTTCTCTTCAAATGCTGGTTTGGTTTATTAATCACAAGAGTTTTTGCCATCCATCCTTTCCTCGAACGTACACTCGATCCACTTAAATTCGTGGGAGGTACGTTGGAAGCCAGCCATCTTTGGTTTTTGGTGCGGTCAGCATAGATCCCTATTTTTATAATATAAATCTCGGATATGCTGTCTAAACACCTTGATTTAAATTCAAACTCAACTTATTGGATTATCCTCACATTAGAATGTGTAGGTTCAGCCGAGTATCGCACAGCATTTCTCCCACAGTGCTAAATGCAAAATCCTAACGTTTCTCCTGTTTGTATCTTGTCGTATTCCCCGGAAGCGCGTTTTCTCTGCTATTCGTGCTGTATGATGTGCTTCACGCGGTTAACTGAGATTTGCGACAGCATTTGGCGCATATATGTAACTGGGCAGCAGCAAGTCAGCAAAAAGAAAACATTACTAGCTGTTTTGGAGTGCCTGTTCCCAGATTTTTCGCCTTGCCAGTTTATGCGGCGGTTTCCTCTATGTCTATTCTGGGTTAGTTCTACGGAATGAAAAAATAGTACTCATATTGTACGAAAATGTGGTTGAAGAATTTATGCCGTAAGATTGGTAGATTATCCTTAAAACGCGTGACAAATTATGCCGTCAGCAAGATTCGTGAAACGCTTGCTAAGGAAAGACAAAGTTTCCTGAAACGACCGTTAGTTAGATTCGAAGCTCTAATCCGCAGACATCTGAAGCTGCAAATGCGCGAGAGTCCATTGTATATGGGATTCCTCATGAAATTCCTCTCGCGGACTCAACAGTGTTGACAGCCGGGTGCTTACCTTGTGGCCCTCTCTTACAGTTTGGTCTATGGGAAATTTAATTCCCCCTAACCAAACTCTGTCGACGGATACCGCCAACGATAGCCGAAACGCCAGCCTCGAAGTTTTAAGTCGAATTGGAACAAGTATTGGAGCTTATTAAGTAACACCATTTTCCGAATAAAAATAGTCGTCACCGTCTACTCAGGCTGCTTTTGTACGGGTCATTTTGTTCCGTTTAGAAAGCGAACCACTGCACCACCTAGTGATTGTTTGAGTTTCACCCTGATACTGATTACACGCAGAGAACATCGTTTTTTCGATCCCAACGTAGATGTATTAGATATGTTTCGATTGTCACAGTATAACCCACTACAAATATTGATGTTTTTTGCAGCTGTACGCCATGGGGAAACGCTGTTTGACAGCATTGTCGTACATTTTGGATAAGAAAAAGTATTTTCTGGCGGACAGGTAAGCCAACACTTCCTTGTGCTGGGTGTGTGCTGTGTATGTGGCCCATTTTAAGATTTCCCTAGTATGTCTTGCAGACGTACACTTTCCATACGTTTAATCCTGTGTCCCATCCGGGTGGTGCAGTAAAAATGCGGATAGAGCACATCTCTTGTGTGAACGCAATGAATCCTCCCCCAAAGTCCCTGACGTCCCTAACCATGGAAACTAAGTGGCTACATCCTTTTCCAGAAAAGGCACTGCCTTTTGGATTTGTTCTACTCAAGTTTCTGACACGCTGGTATCACGCAATTTTCAGGCAATCAGTTCTGTTCGGTTTGTCATCCACAAGGGTAAGTTGGATCTAGTCGCTACAGTTACGGTCACGAGGGAATGGGACCGCGTTGGAGATACAGCCGGGCGTCGAAGACAATGGCATAATCAGTTAGTTCGTATTGAATCAGTCCATTTACTTGAAACAACGGAAAATTGGGCAGTCATGCGTTCAAGGTGATAGATTTGATGCGAGCAGGTGATTCAACCACGTCTGCCAGTGACACGAACCTTTGATGAGTTGAGTCCCGGGATCTCCATCTAGGGAGGTGGCAGTTGTCAACCTGACTGTGTTTACAGGTTAGCGCATACTTCATACTTCATTTCCAGGACATAGACTTAGCACTTAGCAAGGGGCTCTGTCGGAACAGCTCTCGAGGCAGATGTTCCTCTGGCATGCGGAGTACGTGTCTTAATCTGCGTAACTCATAAAATGTGAGCGGTCCACCCTTCGCGGGAGTCCTTATTCCCGGACCATTTGCCTTACCTCAGGGGGGTGAGATGGTTCAAGTGGTTAGACCAGGAATTTACTGACCGAAAGTTCCGTGGTTCTAACCCGACCCCTGCCTATCGACATTCCCTGTCTAAGCTTGGACAACCTGCCAGTATCCCAACTCTCGTGCTTCCTTCGGGTGGCATGGCAGCTAGGCACCGGAAGAATGTTACAGCTGAACGATTTTTTATTACCTTGCCTCAGCATAGTTAGTGCGATGTTCCCACTGGATCCGCCCAATGCTTCGGACACACCGATGGTCGACGTCGAGAATTTTCGTAGGTCCTCTACGCACAGAAGCCATGTTTCTGATCCATGGAGCAGTATAATGTTGTGATATGATAGATGATTTTTGTGGAACTTCACTCTCGATGAATCAGCTGGTCACACTTCACAGGTTACGCCAGGGAGCCGTTTTTCTCATAGAGCTTCCTTCCCACAGCCTTGTGTCGGAGAGAGGCGATCAGTCTGAGTGGGCAACAAAGCATGAAAGCTCCTACTAGTCAACCCAGTTGCGTTGATGATTGTTGTCTCCATGGCTGGGGGACTTCTGGATAAGACATGCCGATGGTTACTGACCATGATAGGTATGACCGTGTGACGCAGCCAATGGTGGTCTTGCATCATAGCTATCGCCTTCATTATTTAGCAGTCACTTCCTGTCGTAACGGACAAGCAATACCTTTCGATTTCAATGACCAGATTGGGCCGTCGCCTCCAAAAGCGTGATTCTCATGCTTTTTTCTCCTTATCCCCCGTGAACGGAGCTCTAGCAGCTGCACTTCAGTGCATCTTTTGTTAGCTGAAAAACTGAACTGAGCGCCCCAGTTTATATCCTCGGCAGACGTCACACTGAAGCCACTTGTGTCAGAATTTTGAAAAGGCGGTGTTGCTGTCTCGAAAAGTAGTCTCGCCTCCACCCAATCAACCGAAATTAATGCGAATGCCCAGTTTAAGTTTATCTACCAGGTCGATTTACTGGATTAGACCCCATCCAGTCGTGTAGCCGCGCTTTGAGTTTGCAGATGTCAGGCGCCTGCCGAACCGTGCTGTAGAATTATTTGGGTTACTGAAAGCGGTTTCTGTTTTTGGGGGATCTGAACCCAGGAGAGCAACATCGTCTGCGTACTCAACGCTTGTGAGCGAACGTCCCAGGAACATTTCGATCACAGGGGTTTCAGAAGCAGGCAAGGGAATCTCAGTCAGCCTGTCAATAGTAAAGTTGAAGTGGAGAGGTGTGTGAGGGCAGCTTTGTCTTGCACCACAGGACTTGATGTACTCCGGCGAAAGCTTGCGGTTGATGACACCCAAGTAGCTCGATGTGGGCGTTCGTGTTGAAAGTTTGTACTGGCCAGAAACACATGCTCAGCGAACAATCGAGGAATTCGCTCCATACACTGGACATCGACTCTAAATCTACCATCTGTCTTGCTTTCGGGTTCAGTCGTCCATCTTGCGTGTTCGTATGACCCGCCAGGATGACAATATCCGTCCTTACTGCCGCAACAGATATAAAAAACCGGTCATTTTCAGTCCCCGAGCTGCAGTCTGACGGGGTGTACGCTGAGACAACAAATAGACACTGTTTATCCCATCGACCTACATTGATTATAATTGAACCAAACAGCACAGAAATGGCCGTTTACTGAGACCCAGTCCCAAAAACCACTTTCAACGCTGTTGATGACTGCAACTCCCGCATCACAAATACCATGAGCCTTTTGCGTCAGAATCACCAGATACTCGAAATGTGGGATGTGGAACATCTGAGCGCGTCCTATGTGGCTTGAGGTGTACAGCTTTAATGAGGTCTTGTGTGCGTGTAACATCATATCGACAGAGAGGGAAAGTTAAGTTTAAACCAGAGACGTTCATTACCTAATTTGGCAAAGATTACCTGCATTGAAAGCTGCAAGGTGGCTGCAAGTGGGGCGTTATGTTGGTTTTTTCGTTGGCCGGTAGTTTGGACAGGAAGCTGCTGCTAGGGGCTGACAAATGAGTTGATCCCTGTGCATCATTCGATGCATGGGCACTGGTTGTGGATGAGGAACAGTGAACGGAGATCTGTAAGGACGGATGATTCTTTTCGGTTGCCCAGGCCGCGTAATGGGATTCCCCACCTTGAATCATTGATTTAGAAGTCTGAGGACCCTGTCCGGACTCAATGACTCAATAGTCTCACCCAGTTGGGTGAGGGTGACTGGCTTAGGCAGTGCGTACAGTCAGCAAGACTTGCATTTCCCATTCCTGATACAACTGCCCATAGCAGATGCTTTTTGAACCGCATCGGTCTCTGTGTAGGCTTTAAGTATATTTTGACTGTATTGGATAATTCGCCAGCAGTCAAGGTCAGCACTTCGGCAGTTTGAGTCTAGTTTTCGGGGCAGACCTTTTCTAACCCGACGGGGGGTAGCGTCGCTGCTTCCATTACTGGGGTTGCCTAGAAGAGACACCTTTTTGCCTTCATACTCCTTTCACTTAAGACAATACGCTTTAACGTTAAGATCGTCTCGTATTACGGTAATGGTACAGCGTTCGCTGCTCTTCGTTTGAGTGAACGGAGTTGCGGCAGCCTAGCCTCTGCGGGATCATTGCAACAATCATGCGCGACCACCACTTCAAGGTTGCAGCTTTTGATCAGTGAAGTTGAAGGTGTGAAGATCGGGTCACCCTGTTTCTAACTAGCCCATCGCTGCTGTCAGATAGTCATACTTGAAGTTGCTTCTGCTGCTGATCCTCTAACCCCGGTGTGTGTCTAAGGGGAGTCAACGCATTGAGTCTTGTCCCAAGTTTAACTTGGCCCAATGTACGATTTTAGAAGATTCTCTTATTAGGGCACCCAAGTTTTTTAACACGTGTTCCGCTGTGTTCTGCCGAAGTTCAATTAAAATTTTCTCATCTTTTCGGTATCAGACCCACTGCAGTTGACGCCTATTTGTTCGGTCGACTCTGGCCACTGCTGCTGTATGAGGCAAGACACGGGACCGCTGACTGGACATCATTGGATAACGCCAAGACCTACAATGGCCACTCGGCATCCCATCCGCTTGTTCAACACCTACTCCAGTGTCCGAACCTTGTATCCCACTTTATCCGTATTCAGAATACATATTTTCCCAAAGCAGCAGCTAGCTTCCGAAAAGGTAAGTAGGGCGTCTTTGCAGCCGCTTAAGTTGGTTTAACATCGTTTAGTAATGTAGCTATGCATTTCTGATAGAGTAACTGTATTGACAAGGATCTGTTGTATCGTGTTGTGTAGACATGAATCGCTTCGGTATTCAGAGGGAATTCATATGATTTTTTCGGTGTGGAACTCGTGCTGATTAGTCGTGAAAGTTCTAACTCTACAGTTGCCTGTTCTAAGGTGTTAATCAGTTAGCTGGAACCTGGTTTCATAGCACTCACCCCCAAAACCGGTTATAGTAGTTCATCATAGGGATGCCGACGTCTTTCGTCTGTTCCCTCAAGTTTCAACCTGATACCGCGTCTACGTATTCCATTACCGTACAAACGTTCTCCGGGGCCGTCTATCAACACGTCAGGATTGTAGTGACTGGAATACCGGTGTTTCATTAACGATATGTTCAGTGATACCTCCGTCCTTTGGGTCATGCTATATCAAGCAGCTGTTGTCTACTTTTAACATGTAGGCCGGCAAGTTCGCCACCGACTCACGAGGCGTCTGCATGTTGTCCAACTCTACATGGGGTGACTTAGTTCTTTCTGAAGGCTCGCTTGTCTTGCAGTACTGAGTACCATCTACGCCTGCGCAGGTAATCGTTCCGCCGGTCTCTGTCGATCGCCAGGTTCACCCACTCGTGTTTGACACTTACTTAAAAGTAGCAGAATTTCGGTTGTCCCCGAATTCAGCTTACCTGGATGCTTGTCTTGGTCGTTAACTTCACGTGGCCCAAGCAGCATTGGTGGTGGGGTCATCAGACTGTGTTCATTGCCGGTTCGAGGTGGCTCAGTGTTTAAGGCACGAACTTACTGACCGGAAGGTCCGTGGTTCGAACCCGACGTTTGCGTCTCGGCTGTTCCTGTGTAGGTTTGGGTCAACCTGGCAGCATCTCGGCCCTCGTGCTTCATTTGGGTTGCAGCTCGACAACGAAAGAGTGGCATTTTTAACAGTATTTTTCGTTCGAATACTTCCAGTATTCGGGATTCTGTCTGTCCATTTGAATCGAAGGATTTTGCACAGATATTATAATTGGAATTATCAAAATGTCCAACCATATCCGCACTATTTATATAATCAGGAAGATAGTACGACAGCCCGGTACGCTACATTCGTAGTTTACATGCAATACGTGATTCTTAAGGCGGTAGAACATCGTGTCGACTTTCGTAGTCGACGCGGTCATTTCATATTGTACGGTTAGACATGTGCGTAACGTACAATCAAGATAGGAGAAATCCGAACAACATGCCACCTTCAAACCGCTTAGTTTTGTCGAAATACGCTCATTTGTATACCAATTTAGCTTTGAGGGGAGACTCACCTAGAATCCAGCGCTGAATCTCTCGTTTATGGTGTTTTTAAGCAACTGAACATACTGCACCAGGCACGATTTTCGAAAGATCTTGATACATTATATAGATGTAATAACCCATGCGTCGAAGAGTTTTCAGAAACCTTATGAGTAGTCAGTTTGTGTTGAACCCCTTGCGCAGGCAGGTGTCTGCCACAACGGTTTCACAACTGCTTCTTTGATAACTGGAGTTAACCTCACTCAACTCAAGTACGGAGCGCAAATCTCTATCTAGTCCTATACAGCAGTTCATCTTAGTCTCGCTCAGACCTATAGGGCTAATCTGATTTCAGGCCTTTAATCCAGCAGTGACTTTGGTCCTGTCTGTGTTTGAGCAAAGTGCCCTTACGCATACTTCCCTCAGGATGCATGGAAACAGGGCACCAAAAGTGTTGCAATATAACTGTATGATCTAATTTTGGCTCCAATATGGTCGTTTGTTGGCTGCCGAGAAGTGGACACCCACTTTCGTTACTAGTCACGGAAACAAGGTCGAGCAATCCTGGGGTCCCTTCTTTTTAGGGGCTTCCGTGATAACTCCTGAGCTTTGCCAGCCGAGCGCCTGCTTAACTGTGTGAGTCATCAAATGCCAATGTGCACAGTTCTATTGAGATGATATGGCTAGGTGGTTAGAGGACGAATTTACTGACGAGGGATCCGTGGTTCGAACTCGACTGCTCCTGTCTGGGCTTGGGCAACCTGGTAGTATCCCAGCTCTTGTCTTTACTTCATGTGGCATGACAGCTAAGCACCGAAGGGGTATTACAGCTGAACGATTTGGGGGCGAGATGGCCCAAGTAGTTAGAGCGCAAATTTACTGACCGGAAGGTCCGTGGTTCGAACCCGACCTCTGCCTCTCGATTCCCCTGTTTAGGCTTAGGCAACCTGGCAGTATCCCAGTCCTCGTGCAGCCTTCGAGTGGCATGGCAGTTAGGCACCGAAAGGGTGCTACAGCTGAACGATTTTTTTGGCTCAGTGTTTAGAGCTCGAATTTACTGAACGGAAGGTCCGTGATTCAAACCCGACTAGAGCTTCTCGACTTCCCCTGTCTAGGCTCGGGCAACCTTGCAGTATCCCAGCCCTCGTGCTTCCTTCAGGTGGCATGGCAACTGAACACCGAAGGGGTGTTACAGCTGAATGGTTATTATTTTTGCAATCCTATCATTAGCTTCACGTACTTCTGCCCGAATTTTTTGACGTCCCGGCACCATCCCACACTTTTTTAGCTCAGCTAAATTTTAAACTATTTCCTTTTTCCCGTTCTCACCAAGACATCACACTGTCGCATTCCAAACGCCAACAAACCCTTGGACTGGTCACTGCTCATCCTGTTCGCGACTGTGTAATCGTTGGCGTCGGAATCACTGTACTGTTCCTGATATACGCCCGACGTATTGGTCTGATCCGGATGATCTCCTCCTAGATTCTATTCCTGCAGATATTAACCTGCTAACCACTGCTTCCTTAATTGAATACCACAGCAAAGCTGTGTATGGCAATGTCTGCTTCCCGGTGGTTCTACGGCCTCTGAAAAGACGTATGACTGTTCTACCTCTTGGAAAGTTCTCGGTGGCAAATGTATAGACTGTTAGGTTAGTTTTATAGTCTCAGAATATAATCTCAACCATATTTCACTTCATTTTTGCTTTCTTTCTCGAGTGGAGTTTGGCAGTTGTGGCTATGTTTTTGATGATCATGGGGTTTTAGGCCTCCTGATCTATGCTTATCCCAAGGATGTCTTCTACTGTGATGAATCTATGCACTGCGCCCATCGAGGTACTCCGGACCATCTTACTGGGTTAGGTGCTAGTTCGGTTGATTTCGGCTCGTTAGGAATGGCCAACGGAGACCCTTTCTTTCTTTTACAGCTTTTAAGGAACTTTCCTCAATTGTGTGGGAATAGTGAACTCAGCTGTTCAGTGTTATGTTCAGACTTAAGCCTGGAACGTAATAGCTGTTTCGGGAGCCGTTGATACAATACTGTAATGGGGATCTCTGAAACCCAGGGCAACTGGCAATCAATTAATCACTGTGGTGCAAAAACTTCTTCATAAGGGACATTTCATTGATCTCCTGTCTTATCGTTGAAATTCCCGTAAAAGTCGGGGACGTTCCGCTGCGCCGGATGAGGTAGCGAAGGAAAGGACACAGATGTTAATTCGGGATACTTTCCACTTATCCACATTCCTTATTCATACTCAATCTTCAATTTTTGGGTGAATAAGTGTGCTTGTCTAGCTTAGTATTTTGGTACCAGATTATGAGGACAGACCACCGAGTGGACACCAAGCATGCTTCAAGTGACCTGCTGTATACCAGGGCAGTGCTGTTTGCTAGTAATCGATCATCGGCTGAACCTGCGTTCCTGTGTGCAGAACAGAATTAACATGCTAGGTTTTGTCTGTGATGTACCTACTTGCCACTGAACCGCGAGCGCTGTCCCCGTGAGTTTTAAAGGCTTGTTAGTTGAAACACCGTCAACACGACAAAGCCAGATGATGATGGGAACAAAAACCTCATGCCTAGGAGGAATCCTCAGTATTCCTAACTAAACCAGTCACCACATGCACAGAGCACTGCGATAGATGAATGCCGGTAGGAGATTTCTTCTCCCTTTGAATGACAGGCTAATTTAACTTAAATAAATGGTTAAGCAACACTTGACATTGCAAACAGATGCTCGACATTAAATGTCACTAAAAAGGGAAGGATGTCATACACAGTCGGGTGCTTGGCCCTTCGTAACAGTTTACTTTGGATCAAAGAAAGCGGTCTCAGTCAACAGTTGAATGAACAACACTTTTAGTTGTGTCTAGTGATCAGTTGCTTCTATCCTTTCCAAGTCTGGTGTGGTTCTGTGTTTTGTGCGGTGGGATAAGCGGCCCATCTGATGAACCCCTTCTTGCATCCTGTCTCCATAGCTATCGGAGTGCCTTTTAGATAAGGCAGGGAAAATGTTTCGATTCAGACATGAATAGCTTCTCTCTGGTAGCATAGAGTAAACCACAACTCTAGATAGTCGGCCAAATGTAAAGAAAATGGAAAAGTCAGTTGAATGAGTCATCCCTCCTAAACAGTCAAGTTTACCGAGCGCTCAGCTTCTGCATACCTTACGAGGACGTCCATGTAAGTGAATCTAATGGACACATGCACGATATATGATGGAATAGGGAATCAGTGTAAAACGATAAGGGGTACTATGGGAGGTTTGTTTCTCAACATTGAAATGGTCAGTCGTGTATAAGAGGGGAACACGAATTTATCGAGGCGTGGTCTTCAATGGAGAACGCTATCAGCAAGCAATCTCTTAAGAACAAAGAACTCCAAAACTCTGAAGCTCAAAATTATACAGGAAACCAGCAGAAGATAGTAAGAGGACACAAACCTCAACATGTGGAACCAATACTACTGTAATTGACAATGAAGTAGATCATGAACTAACAAATTAGGAGACAACAGAACAGATGACGGATGAAGATTGCATGAAACAGAGAGGTACCTCATAAAGTGAGCATAATCAGATAATAGGAACCACGGATAGGCCAATCAGGTCAAGGAGGACTTTGAAGCAGCTGTCCAGTTAACCAATCAATTCACATTAAAACGAACCAAAACTCAACGGGGAAATGCAAACCAGCCAATCGGGATGAAGTGACAAAATCGCTAAAACAAAGGTATCAAACGAACCAATCGAACACAGTAAAACGAGACTAGCGAGATGGCGTCCAGCCGAGGTGGGCCTTAAACAAAAAACCACTGTGTAGCTATTAGATACCCCTTTGAGACATTACAAATGTAGCTCTGAATGAAGGAAGTGCTAACCCAACTGTGATTTGCAAGCCAGTTGCCAGGCTTGGCAAGCAGAATAGCTGGTTCCCAATCAATAGTCAATAAACGCACCCGAGTCAATAATATATAAACTTTGGAGATATCACTGGCTGAACTTGCTAAGTAATGCGGTTGACGTTCGATACACGTTTCAGGGTGCTTAGGTGTAGTGATATCTTCCGGGGAATTCAATTTAAAGCGTTTGAAATCCTTGATGGCGTGCCCTACCTACGGCATCGTTCAAACCGAAGAAAACCGTATGACCTAGGCAGTGTTTTCGTTCGAATTCTGAGATTCGATGGTCTACTGTGGCTGTGTGGATTTCAGTGATTGGAAGATAGCTTCTGTTTGATCCACCGTTGTCTGATTCGCTTTTGGTTTCGCATTCTTCGGCATCGTTCTGCGTGGGATTTAATGAAAATCGGAAGGGATGGTTCATTTGTAGAAATTCTCCGGTATAGAGGTGCCAGAAATCACGAGGGTCAATCTATTTTGAGGTAATATCGAATGCGCTTATCAATGTACCGCGCGATATATATCCAAGATCCGAAGGATAGACCGGTGTGAATATTACATCACTATGGAATTTGAGCCATTCCATAATGACTTCACGGAGAGACCGCTCCGCATGTCGAGCTCGGAAGTTTGCATGCCTGTGACTGGAGAAGTTGACTCAGCGCAACCTCCACGAAGAACTGCCGTGGAGCACAAGTGTACCACCGCGCGCTTGTATCGTCTACAAGAAACTTTAGTGATGTCAACATAGAAGGCATTCCCATCAAATGTAAGATACCACTTGGTTGCCCGAACCAAGGTAAAAGTAGTCGGAATGTTGCATTCGATATTTCGTTCCAAGTATATGACCCGCAATTATGCGCCTACATTCTCTGAACTATCACGGATTTTAAGCACTCGGTGTCAACTATCCAGCTGCTTTCTTTTGCCATAACACCAGGATAGTAAAAGAGTACAACTCTGAATGTTAGGTAAGATCGCGTCACAGGCGTTTTCACCCGGAAATGAGGTTTTTGGTCATCGTCGTGTGTATCTTGAAACCAACTGTATTTTATACCCCATAACAAACCCATTACACTGAGCACTGATGTGCGGAGAACATCCAAGTGGCAGTCTGATTGAAGTTCATTTTTTGACGACAAATGCATGTGAAACTCTCGTGAATTTATCCAGGATTCGAGAAATACACTCATTTGCAAATCAATTTGGTTTTCACGAGAGACAACTGAATCTCTCGTTTATGATATTCTACAACTGAATGTGCTGCACACAGGCTGCCTCATGTTTCAGTTGGCACGATATTCGAGATATCGCAGTATATATTCAGAGAGGAAACTACCCACAAGAGTCTTCAGCGACCTTGTGAGTAGTTATCCAGGATTGTTCGCTCCATTACTAAGTCGTCCCTAAGGCCCCTGAAACTTGATTCTACAATCCTGATTTGCGAAAATTTGATGAGTGCTAGGATTCACATGTATTGTGTCATTGCAGGAATAAAGATGTCGGTCGGTCCTCCTCATCTTTAGTCTCAACTTCATCGTCGGCATCCACAAACGTACTTCAGCGATTCCTCCACTATTTTCATGTACTGCATGCGTCGTCATAAGGATACCACGTCATGGAGCGATACGATTCTTACGGTCACTCGCCAATACCAATCATTCTGAATGAGGTAGCCAACCCATGTTCAGTAGTTTTTGCACCAATATGATATTGCTCGAGTCCTATTTGCAAAGAAATCAGGACCAAAAGAAAGTGTCTTTTACGTGAGAATTTCTCTCTCCAAATGGGAATAAGCTTATTTCTTGGTCTGGACCTTCTAAGTCAGCGTTTTCCGCGAAAGCCCCACTAAAGGTGCACAAAACCAGATCGTACGAGGCAACAGAGTTCTAGCAGGCGGTATTCGACGGTTACTGAGACATGTTTCGCCAGCTGGGTCCACACTTTCCGTCAGTCAGAGCTCGGCTTGATGTTAGAGAGGCAAGCTGCCCGATGCACTGACCAAGTACGTGCGGGCTAAGCTTTACGGTAGTAAGGGCGCCCAACTACGAGCGGTTTTGGTGCGGATTTTCGCCTAACAGCTCTACTCTTACCTGACGGGTCGCGGATGCACTTCTCAACTACTCTGAGATTAACACGCCCTTCACAGAAGTCCAGCCAATGGAATAAGGGCCGTATTCCTGTTCGTGAGTTTGATCACGATGATAGCTGAAGTTCTGTACTACACCAAACTGGTACTTGTTTTGCAAGGAAAGAGCATGTGGCGAAGGCACCTTCTTATTTGTCTACATGTTTGTCCTGATTTCCAAGGCGCTTGAACGACCCACTACCATGCGGTTGGCCATAGTACGGCAGATCGAGCTATGAAAGATATTTTAAAGCCGATATTCCTGAATCCCCTACTCGGCATTGCGTTGCCACTTGGGTGTTAGCACAACTACAAAATTTGCCGCCCAGTCGGTTGATTATTCGATTAGTCGTCAATGAAACCCAGGTGCCATTGTGACCATATCTCCTCTAAATAAACCGATTCGCTAATCCTTTTGAAAATGTCCAAACCACCTCTTACACCCGTTTATAAGTAGCTTACACGGAGGAACATCTCACAAGTCTCGCCACCCTGAGAACCGGCCAACACGTGACCGCGTGAATGGACGGGGGATGGATTGCACTATATCGTGTCTGAACGGGAGTTCATCTGATCAGCCTCTCGTAGCCGAACGGTTAAGTTTTAAACTCCACTTGCACGACAAATGCTCGATTGAAAATCTTCCTCCTACCCACTGTCCGGTGCACTGCAAAAGTTGTGATTTGTAAATAATCTGAGAGTAGTACTATTCATGATTATGATCAAATTTGCGTAAGCATATGGCGAGTTTCTTTTTGTGTGTGTGTGTTGTGTTCCGGTTAGAGTACGAATGGAAAAGTTAGGTGGGCGGTTTTAAAGTCAGTGATCCGGTAGGGTTGTTTATGTGTACAGATTGGGGTGAGTTCGGATTGGACCAGAGTTGCATAGCGTTCCGCAGTGGCTAGTTTATCCGGAAACTGGTACATACGAGGGGCGGAGTGGATATAATCTGATTGTGTGACGGAAGACAGGGTTGTAGTTTGTGGAAAAACATGGATGGGGTCGGAACGCACTGATATTAGCTGTTGTCCTTGTCCGCGCAAGTCACATTCGTGGAAAGTTACCATTTGGTGCTCCCAAGAGAAGGCGTTCCGGGACTGCAATGTGGAAGAAAGTATGAAGGTCATTCTCATGACTCTAATCAACCTGCTCGGCGCAATCGAAATTCACTCTAAGAGTTTCATTTAATGGACCCTTCTCATTCACTTCGTCTACCATGTTAATGAGATAGTCAGTAGATTTGTATGCCCGTATGAAGTCAGCATGTAAAAATGGCCTCTCTGTGTTAAAAGTCGCTAATCAGTTTAACCCAATGTGGCACTGAGCACGAGATCAGTAATTTGTGAATTCTATGCAGAGTGCCTGATAAAGTGTTGTCCTTGCAAACAACCAGACTCATACCGATGCAGGTAACCGGGAGACTGAAGTTGAACAGTGGTACGTCAAAGAAACTGCAGCCGAAGACCGACACTAATTCGGCAAGACCATGAAGGTCACACGAAGGTGACTAATCAAAGGAGAAAGAAGATGGGTGCTTATTACCCTGCTCCAGGAGACATGCGTATAATAGGTCCTTCTTTCTCGCTCCTGCAGAAGGAACACATGCACGGTGATATAAGGGAGACGGTTCAGTGGTTGGAGCGCGAATTTACTGACCGGAAGGTCCGTGGTTCGAACCCCACCTCTGCCTCTCGACTTCCCCTGTCTAGGCTTGGGCGACCTGGCAGTATCCCAGCCCTTGTGCTTCCTTCGGGTAGCATGACAGCTAGGCTAGGCAGCTGACCGAACGATATAAAGGAGAACGCTGGAAAGTCGGTGATTTTGACTACAACAGCGTTAACAGAAGACGCAGCCAAGTACTTATTTATAAGGCGTAACTCGAACATGCCGTTCGTTTATGCTATTCGTTAACCGAATGTGCTCAGTCGATTGTGTTTACCTGGTGATCCCCAAAGTAGATAGTGCCAGCAGCTGGCTGTCAAGGGGTTTTCATCAACCTTAGAGTTAGTATCATGAACCTTGGGTGGAGTAAGTCCTAGAGAGTTCTACTCACCTGGATTTCACGCATCGTGCCTGATCCACCCAAAAGCGTCATGGTCCGTAGTGAAAAAAAGACAATGAGCGAAACAAATTGACATGGGCAGGATTGCACGTGGAAGACTGACAAACGAATATACTCATTGTTACGATGCTTTCTCGGGCTTCTCACCCTCATCTCCGGTTTCGTCATCACTAGAGGCAACTGGAGCCCGCAGAGACTCGAGGGAATCCGGTGTGGGGGGCAAAGCGAGCTTTTGGCGCTGAAGTTGACTCTCTTGGCCAACAGTCACCAAGTTTGTCATCCGCTGGTCATTTATCTGAGAAAAAGAAGAACAAATAACAACGTAAACAGCAAATCGATAACTTGACACTGTTTTCCCCGCTAGCCATTTCTTCCAAACTGATGTTCAAACCATTTCCAATCCATTTCAGAGTTACGAGTTGTTTGAAAGCGGCTCAGTGTTTCCTGACTCACAAGGTATATAGCCAAACCCTTGAAAATTGAACCGAGCAGTTTGATTGGTTAAAATTACCTCCAGAAGAATTTGGATCTTTGTGGTCTTCGTGGGTCATTTTTGATCGCAGGTAGAAAAGTTCATTCTACTCATTTCAAATTGTGTCACATTCCCAGAAACACTCATCTTTCTGGCACGGGATTTTGCGCTCTTCCTTACGAGGTACTCGGTTTCTAAATATATGTCACAACTGAGCACGGTACGAACCTCAGGAAGTAAATGGGAAGTCAACAAGCCAGTCATATTGACTTCTTACGTGAAACCTTTCATACTTATTGGCTAGCTGTTACACGGATGAGGTTAACCGGTATCACGGGTTCACGAGCTCAAATATCAACACAAGGCGAAAGGAATTTTGAAACCACGATCCTAGTTTTCGAGCAATGACCCTAACGATATGGAAATGCTCTCCAATGGGATTCAAAAATGTATTTTTTACCTATGAAACATGGTGTTGACCTTGTTCTGCTTTATAGGCGGATCCCCTTCTTTCGTAGCTTTCACTGCTCTATTGGGAAGAGGACTTGTACGTTTCAGGTAGCAGAAGATGAAACTAGACCACTTCGACGTGTTAGCTGATAGAAGTTCTACAGGAAAGGAACTTGAGATTATGGTCCACAACCACTGCGGACAATATCACTAAACTCACTGACTGCAGTGACCCGGAAAAATCCATGAGGTCTGTACTACACTGTCACTGAAAATGAGGGATTATTTATGACCTTGACATAGTGTCGAATAGAAGATGGGACCCGCCTAATCTCGGCAGTACGTGTGCTACAGGAAACCTGCGGTGTTGGCTGTTTATAAACTTATATCGATCCACCAATGAATCAAGAATACGAAAATCGGAGTTAATTGAGCAGAGCATACGAAGGACGCCACAGGAAGCTGTTGGGACGTGTCCAGACATGAAAAAAATACAGAGAATGACGCGTCCCCACGCAGCCCGCACGTTCCGGACAGCAGGTGCGTTGGCGCAGGTTACCAAACACGGCTTAGCACCACATGATCAGAGGAGAGGATGTGAAGTTCGCGAATATACACTCAGTTGCAAACTAATTTGGTTTTTCGAGAGACTCACCTGGAACCCAGCTGAATCTCTCGTTTGTGACGTTCTCAGGCAACTGAATGTGCTGCACCGGGTCGCCTCATGTTTCAGGGCATTCTTTTTCGCTTCTGTTGTATCGTGGGCGGCCTTCCCATTGGTTACGCCTGAACTGAGCCTGCTAGACTACGCGGTAAGATGACAGAGAACCCGGGACACAACTGTGCTGACTGGACAAACGGACAGGTCTCCTGCGTAACTGTATGGGATGACTAAAGGGCCAAATATAGCCGTTCAATTGTTCGCTCTGTACAGCCAATGACGACGATCCTGCCGTGAACAACTTCACATCCTTGTAATGTACTACTCATAAGGTTGCTGAAAATCCATCGACAGCCCGCCACCGGTTTCGCCCTTTTTGGGGCTTATCAGGTAGGCGCAGTCCCCGGGTTTCTGTCAACTTTATGTTCTACTTGAAACCGAATTGCACGAAATTCGCGAATATACACTCATTTGCAAACTAATTTGGTTTTTCGAGAGACTCACCTGGAACCCAGCTGAATCTCTCGTTTGTGACGTTCTCAGGCAACTGAATGTGCTGCACCGGGTCGCCTCATGTTTCAGTTGCTACGATATTCGAGATATCGCGATACATGTATATATTTGTAATGAACTACTTACAAGGTTGCAGAAAATTCGTCGACAACCCACAACCAGTTGCCTGAGAACATCACAAACAAGAGATTTAGCTGGGTTCCAGGTGAGTCTCTCGAAAAACCAAATTAGTTTGCAAATGAGTGTATATTCGCGAATTTCGTGCAATTCGGTTTCAAGTAGAACATAAAGTTGACAGAAACCCGGGGACTGCGCCTACCTGATAAGCCCCAAAAAGGGCGAAACCGGTGGCGGGCTGTCGATGGATTTTCAGCAACCTTATGAGTAGTACATTACAAGGATGTGAAGTTGTTCACGGCAGGATCGTCGTCATTGGCTGTACAGAGCGAACAATTGAACGGCTATATTTGGCCCTTTAGTCATCCCATACAGTTACGCAGGAGACCTGTCCGTTTGTCCAGTCAGCACAGTTGTGTCCCGGGTTCTCTGTCATCTTACCGCGTAGTCTAGCAGGCTCAGTTCAGGCGTAACCAATGGGAAGGCCGCCCACGATACAACAGAAGCGAAAAAGAATGCCCTCCCAGAAGCGGCGATAAAACCAGTGGTGTGAACGATAAGCGGAAAATGTCTATTTAAATCACACAGTTGCGCAAACTCATCAGCTTTGAAATATAAGTGAGCCACCACGCTGCAAACTCAGTTTTGACTGAGAGGCTTCAGAATAAAAGCTAGTATTTCCCACAAACTTGACACTGGTTTGCCAACATATAGACAGCTTACGTTCAAGAATAGCACCAGGTATCCCTTTCATTTCGTTAGTTTGCCCGAATTGCGTGAGAAATATACCGGAGATGTGTTGAACAACTATCCAAAATGATCTTGGTGCTGGTGGACACCAAAGGCCCTCTATAAACAGTGGACCAATAAAACCAGGATGGACATTAGTCACGCATTTCTACCGACTAATTGCATCTCAGATCGTTAGGCCAACTGTCGTAGGTTATCGGTAGCGGAAACTGCTACGGTCTGTAAGCGCACAAATATTTGCCAAAATCCTTGGTTTACCTTGGATAGGTGCTCACATGAAACGCGCGCCCCTAATGTACCCAATAAGTGCACTCCTCAGCTGATTAGTGTGCACCGGGATGTCTCAGTTTTTGTCCAATCACATTTAGTCATCTAAAATTGAATTAATCTCTCAGTCAATCTTTTACTTTATTCATTATCCGTGTTCACTAGCTCGCCCATTTACTTCATTTTCCGAAGCAGATAGAAAGGCAGTGACGAACTAAAATGTCGGAGTATCTGGAAATGATCTTGATGTTTCGAGGTATTCGAAGTTCAAAATGGTGGATTAGATATCGTTTTAGATAGGTTCTTGTCAAACGACAGTTCCCGCGAAGCCGATTCAGCGAGTGTCTGACTGTCATACCCGATTACATGGAGATACGATCTATATCAGACATGGAATATCAAAAGACTAAAAAAATCTGTTCCTCATGTCACATCACAACACACCTTTCTGATCTTGGGAAGATACTAGAAACGAACATTTCGTGAACAAAACTCGTAGTTGGTCGGTGGTTTCGGAAACAGTGAGAAACTCCACTCTGGAATGTAGAACATTCACCAGCCACTAGGTCAGGTCATGAAGTAAAACGTTGAGTATACGTACAAAATGTTAGAATCCCGGGCAAAAGGCGCTGAGGTGTTTTCGCTATGCAGACTACGTTTCTGACTGTCGAACTTTGTATGTAGTTTGTTTAGAGGTGGACTGAAGAAAAAAACCGGTACCTGTTGCTCGGACGTAGATCGAATTTCAGTCGGTTTATATTGATCCACAGTCTCGTACAACGAATCAACCGAACCGTACTCATCGCGAGTTGTTAGTCTTGGAGGCTCTGGTTTATTTGGCGTCCCGTTCTGAGACGGACGGTTCCACAACGGAGGTAGTGGTAGGTTGGGTTTTGGGGACAAACTTCGTTCAGAAACCGCAATATCTGTCGGAGGGTTGACACGTGGTGGTAGTCGTGGAGGTGCTTGTTCCATGGGTCCACGGATTGAAATATCAAGGTCGGTTCCAGTGTAGTAGTGATTGCTGATCATTGCGTCAGAAAGAGGTCGGGAGGTCTCGTCACCTTAAGGAGGAGAAAACGACAGATAGGTGGATGACCGATCATAGGAGTGAAATTCTGGATAAAACCAAATCTTTAGTTCTGTCATTCATCACCAAGAACAGCTACCACCGCGGCTATCCAAAGAGGCTTATGTCTAATCCCAGTTGGCGTTCCTAAAGTTGGATGTTCATTACCTTGTTTTACAGGTCTATTTTGGAGATGAGCCATCTTGCATACCCAAAAACGGGTGAATACAAACTTGAAAAAATAACATCCAATATAAGCACCTTGTTCATGACTGACTGGTATAGGGGGCAACAAACAAACCTTGTCGATGCCATCATGTACCGGGAAAAGACACCGCCTTCTTGATCGGTGGCTCGAAACAACTAGTTCAATAAAAACTCGAAATTTCTCCCCCGTTTCGATTCTCTACTGAGTACTTCAGAATTCTCGTAGTTTTACGCCAAATGTTTGTGTATTTGTCTTGCTTCGTTTGTCGGACAATTACAAGTCACTACACTTTTATTCAAGGCGACGATCCCGAAATTTGGTGATTTTTTGAAACAGTTAAGGTGCGTTTGTTGAGTTTGGCGTTCAGAATTAAAATCCACAGTTCAGCTTGTCCACCATCTTTGTGTGCTCTCTATGTGTTACGAAATATGCAGTGCGGTTCCTGACTCAACTTTATACATAAGGATGATGAAAACAGCCCACTGTCGGTTTCACCGCTCTTGGGGCCATTCAGGTAGGTGTAACTTCCGAGTTTCCATCAATTCTACTTGATACCTGAACACAAAGTTGCACGTGAATGGAAACATGAATTCAGTTACGTATTAAGTTAGTGTTGACAGAAGACTCTGAGGGGGGCAACTTCTTCGAGTCAATTCGTCGCACAAAGTTAGCCTCCAGTTACAGATGGAACGATGTTCAAGTTACCGAGGTATTTTTCAAGCACGATACTACTTACAAGACCGATTGGGTGATTCTCCCAGAGCTCTCCCAGAGAACTTCTTTGCTAGGGGAGTGATTCAGTCTACACTACTAGTAGTCATCTATCAAGAATTGAACTTGCATATCTCGAATTTAGTTCCGAGTGAAACAGAGACAACCTTTGTGAATCGCATTTAGTTGAAGAACAGCATAAAACGAGAGATTCAATCAAGCTTCTCCACTGACGGCAGGTGGATTTGCCACTGGGTGCGCAACTCTGAAATGGCACTCTGCACTCTGCAAAAAACATGTTCTACTCTAGCGTTGCTCTCAATAACAAACTCAAACCAAGCGAAATTCAGTTTACCTTTGTCCTCGTGATGTCTGCGTTTTACTGGACTCTGTTGGTTTGGTGGTTCTCCGAGCTGCGTTGCGATCAAGTCTTGTTGCATATGGTTATCATCGCCCGGTGGTTTGATCAGTGTGTTCGCACACGAGTGAGTTTCATCGTAGGTCACGTATTCTATCGGAAATCTGGTCCACCCTTGAGGGCTACCGGATGCCACCTGTTCAGATAATGTAAGAGGCCGCCCAGACGGGGAACGGGGTACGCCTGCTCCTGTAGGTAACGATGGTGGCGGCGGTGGTGGTTGACTGATTAACTCACCGACTTCTTGGTCCTCCTCAGCTGAATCTCCAAATACCAAGGAACTGACTGCAGAGCTGGTGCCACTTGGCAAGCGTTCCGTTTCTGGAATAAACCGAGCACACTTCGTTTGTCAGAATTTTCAAACCAAACTGGACCGTTAAAAGATATGATGTGGTCTTATTTTCAGTCGTTTTCCAAAACTGACTAATCACGTGAAGAAATTCCTATCTACCGGTAGGTGCCGCTTCTTTCTAGTAAAATGACCCTGGTCCATAGTTACCAGAATTTATTTATTCGTATACTGCTTTTGCGCCGGTCAAACGGACGCAGCTTAGGCGCATTCCAGTTCAGTCCACAATCTATTCTGAATTCACGCCCCGTTTGAACAGTCCTTGTCCTGTCTTATCGCATTCTTTTGAGAAGTCCGCATCAAAGGAGGGAAGCACTGAAACTGAGTTTCATTCTCATTAGAGCTCATCAGCAGTGCTACCGTGCTGGGGTTTGAAATTCGGATGTCAAGATTTGTCCGGTAGGTTTCAAGCTTCTGTGACGCTATTTGACTGGGAAGTCCTTACAGACTAGTCAATCGATCAACAACCAGGAAAGTTACCGGGCCATCGTTCGAGGAGTTGGCTAACCCAATCACGTAATTCTAGTGTGGACGCATTCGCCTGGCCAGACATGATAATGATGTGCTGGTGGAGTAGTGATGACACACTCGCCTAGCATGTTACATATCCGGAGTTCAACCCCCGACACTTCCAAGGATATGCACTACTGATGAGCTTCAGTGCTTTTCCCTCTTTGGTGTGGATCTACCGGAATAAGTTCTGCAAAATAGGAGGGTTGTTCAGACGATAGTGATGCAAAAGAGAATGCCGAAACCACCTCCTACAGGTCATGTGAATTCATTCAACAGAGCTCGGGTGTGATTCCTCACAGTACCGTTATTTGAAACACACTGACACGTTTACCGTTGGTCTCATACTCGGTCGTATTCATTTTCCATGCTATGAACTCATTCGTATATAGTGATCAATGTGTTGTGTCTTGCTGAACGGTAGTGCAACTCTGTATCGGTCCCTTGGCTTCCTGCTCCGTCCACTATGGTATATCAAAAGGCACGGTAGCTCTAGACAGCCCTTTATGGAGACAAAGGAAAATTATTACAACTTTATTTATAGGGTAGTCACAGTGTTCCACAAGGTCTTGCCAGAATGTCCGTGAGGGGGCGAGAAGCGTCGAGTCAAAGATGCTCGAATCAGATTGGCCAGCATTCTTACCAATCAGGGCATGCATTCGTTTGGTTCGTGTCCTGCACGTGAAATCCGTCGAAATGAGGTGATGTACGGTTATTAGGGACGGCTGGCTTTCGGACACAATGATTCTTATAGACACCCGTGCTCATGTTGGATACATGAAACGTGATTCACAGGGGTAGTTTATCATCACGTCTGGACATGGGAGACATCAGAAATGGGTATGTTCATCGCCTTCCTATAGTGCTTAAGGATTCCCGCCACACGACTAACGCTCCATCGTATCCTCTCTTTCGCACTGTGTGTACTAGGTCTCTCATTTGGGATATTATAAATTTCAATTTTATTCTGTGGCGAATGGACTTTTCTGATGATCCGTAGCACAAGAATTGGGGCGGTGTGCGCGGAATAACGTGACTGCATCTGGATGGGTAGAACGTCCAGAATTGTAGCGCGATTTCGACCGGAGTTGTTTGACTCATTCGGCACTGTAGCTCAAATGGTTTCTAATTGGCCTTGGAAAGTGCCAACTGTTACCCGTAGTTCACAATTTGTAACGAAATCCTCGGTGGAGCTCATCAGAGTTATTCATTTAGAAGATACTCCCGGTATCCAAGAGGCGGGCGCTTTTTGCTGCTGCATTTCAAAGTCTTAATTGAAGTGTCCTATCAACCGTTCGGCCTAGTCCGGGTAACCTGGAATCATTCTGCCAAGATCCATGTGTGGAACATAACAGAGTAGTGTTCTTACTGCTTGTTCAGAGGACATTCCAGTTCTTCAAATTTCAGCTCCGTGATAAAATGGGCTTCTCAGGAGATATTTTTAGACTGATAAGAAAGCTACTTTTTGAAAACGCTGGGGAATAATGAAGACGAATGAGTACAAAGGTTACATAAAAGCCAGAAGGTAAAGGAGGCGACATGAGGAACAAACATAAACATCTGTCATTTAATTGCTTGTCACGCCTCCCAATTGTGTTCCCATAGACTGCACAATTTACGCTCACCATGACTATCCACATGTGAATTCCAGGGGTGGTTAGCTGTCGTCGCATTCCGGCAGTGAGTGTCTCCAAAATCGAAATCAGCAAGCACTCAATAGACAAGTCCGCTAATGTGTCGACAATTTTTTGGCCAGGATGCCTTTACTAGTGGTTGATCACGTGACCGCTGATCTATTCGCTGAGCATGGCAAGTAGCTCGTCCTCAACCGGGGACGAGAAGTTTACAAACTAATTGCCGAATGGCAACGGGCATCTGATCAACCATCAGGAAGTGAGTTTCTAGGATCTTTGCGTTACAGTGCGTTTAGACTTGGTCATTTGGGAATAAACTTAGGAGCTTACATATTCTTCCATGCTATTAGCTTAGGATTTGCACACTAGTGCTTGAGCACGTGATTACATCGCTGTGAGACATGCCTGGGTGTAGTTATCCAAAGACTCACAAGTTCTCTGTTACTTATCGAGTCCGGTGAAAGAGCGAATCAAACAGCTGCATCACCTTGTTTGAAAATTAGCAGATCACAAATACTAAATTCGACCGACATGAAATATGACATCGAAATGAGCCACAACCGAACGCCGGTCTTTTGATAAGATGAACGCCTAGTTCTTGCTTTTTCTGACGTATTATTACGGTCCCAGTTGAGCTCACTGTGTGGGCTTGCGAGTTTTTCCTTTACTGAGTGAGATATTAAAAAAATTACAGATCAACATCTCTGCTAAGATGCATCTCAGATGAACTGGCTACAATGAGAAGTTTGAACTTATTCAATCACTTGTGGAAGTGACCAGCATAACTATGGGATGGCTGCAGAGAAGCGATGCTGCATTCACCAGGTTACCGAAAATCATAGATGCCAGATCAGACAAAATAAAAAAAAGTTATTCTAGAGTTCTGAAAGAAGTTTGCTCGCCGACAGATACCTCACTGCAGAACGATTCGTCGTGTTCCTCAATGCGGGAAAAGTGACGGACTTTCCCCGAACTATTAACTAATTTACTTAGGGATCACTCAAACTCTACAAACCAAATTTGTGATTTGGTCTAACTTTTCAAAAGAGACCTCTCCTCAGGAAAGCGCCTGTCGATTGCAGCAGGACCCCAACATTGACCAAACTTGTATTTGATTTAATACAAGAGAGTAGGGTGAGATCAGGGACTAGAAAGGCACCAGTTCGAGGGTCAATGCAACAGTACCTTGGATCTCCATAGCTACTTTTGCCCCAATATAGCACAGGTAACATTGTTGTAAGTTCGTAGTGAATGACATTTCTGCGGGATGTTCTGAGGCTTCCATGTTGCTACGATATTCGAGATATCGCGATACATGTATATTCGTAATGCACTACTCATTAGATGGCTGAAAATTCCTCGACCTCGTCCACTTTGTTATCAAAGGACATCTGGCGACTAAAAAAACCCTAGTCATTTCATATTGTCCAGACCGATCTGGTGTATATGTTGTTTTCACGATAACATGGCAAAGTAAAAAAGGAAATGGCCATCATTCTTACTACCACAAACTTATAAGCTATTCCGCCATGTCATTAAGTGCCCCGACCGCCAATAATCGACAGGCGGAGCCGCTGAGTTAAGTTCAGAAAACTAGTGAAAAAGCAACTGGTCTAACAGCCCTCTCACGTGACAATCAGATGACACCATGAAGGAGGTCCTACCATACCCAGTGGTTGATTAAGCTGAACAAATCATGAACCTAACATTGAAGGATAAGAGAAGAACGGATAAAAAAGTTAGTTGAGGCAGTAACAGATTTACCAGTCTTCATTCCTGAACGCCTAAAGTGCTGAATGGGGAAACCACTTTGAAGATTCGCTACTTCCTACTGTAGACATATCGGGCTTGTCAGAAAAGTCAAACAACACACCTGATAAATACTTCATCTTATGTGCGTCTCCGGTTGTTTGTGCGACCTGTCTTCTTTTGACTGAGGCTGGCACAAGGTATGGATCATTTGAGTGATTCATGTTGGTCATCTGGCCCAATTGGGGATGAGCGGAATGACCAGCAGTTAACCCTTGTTGCATCAGCTGCTGTTGTGAACAGTGTGTGGGCGTCGGAGGGCGTATGGTCGACGCCGTGGAAACTCGATGCCCTCCCACATCGACTGATGGATATTGATCCCAGTAGTCTGGGCCAGAGCCAGGTGAGACAGCAGCGGTGCTTCCAAGCCGTGTTGTTTTGGTCACTGTTGTCGTGGAGCCGGAGAGGGGATCACCAAAGGCACTGTTATCGTCCACGTCCAAATTGTACATACTTGCTATTGGGTCTGCGCCCCGGGAAAGCGATATTTGATAGAGACTCCTCATTCCCAAGCCAAAACGTGCGCTCCCTGATTCTGAAACAACAAAAGAACCGAGTATTTAGTGTGGAAGCTCACAGTGCTGCCGGATAGTCACAAAAACGAGAGCTTCAAAAAATGAATTTACGCACTTAGTGAAAGCACTCAACCAAAAACCCTTAAATAAGAGGAGTAAAGCCTTGGGCCTGTGTACAGGCCCATAGAATCTCCTGATGGTAAGAACACATACGCGAGTGTCCGCAGAGCAGCCAATCCAAATGCAGTAGGAGTTATCCGAATGTACCACTCATTATATGTCCACGTGATATCCTCACATTCGTGTGCTACGGAACTGTGCGAGACTTTGTCATCATTTCCCATCTGAGTGACGTAGGAAGAAGAATCTACGGGTTAAATAACCTGCTATTTAGGGACACAGCTTTTGATAGCTCCCAGGATTGGCATAAACGTTTTGAAAACAGCTCTATGACATCGTTTATTCGTCCTTTGCTGGGGATAATGGAGAGATTCGGTTAGTAAATAAAGTTCGAAGGGTAAGCATAGATCACTGAGAATGCTATGCCTCAGTCCAAATCATTCATTTGACGGAGAGATGGAAAGAATTGTCAACAAGCTCAGTTGTACACCCAACGTGGATCATGTCTAATCTTTTCGACAAAAAGAATGACTGGAAACTGAAGGACAGATATTAGTTTAGCCACCCACCTGATCTGGAACGAGCAGATATCCCCTGAGGGATTGGTTGAGGTCCGGACAGACGTCGAAACATGGGGTCATTTATGCCTGTTTGGAAATAATGGGCTGCGTTTAAACCGGACATGGACTGTGGATAAAACTGACCAGCTAGCCGCTGCTGCTGTGTATTCCTTGTTGACCCCCTGGGTGGAGTGAGAGACCCATTGAGGTTGCGCAAGAATGAAGACAACCGACGAAATCCTTGACTAAGACTATTTCCAGGTGGTGTACTCTTCCAAGGTAGCGGTTCATTTGCAGTTGTGCCGTTTTGAATTTGATCCGCGATCGCTGGTTGGTATTGGTGTGTAATGGGTTGACAATATAGCGACGGATATCCGTTGGTTGGATCCACATTCGTGTAGTTGTAGTGCAGTTTATTCTTCAGAACGGGGTAGAGGGAAGCTAACTCGTCGGATCTTGGACTTATTCCATTTGCTGATACCTGTTCATTGTTTATCAGAGTCCGAGTACTTTGGGTGGTAAGCTGACTCACCGCTCCTTCCGCCGCTTCTCGCTCACTTGCCGGAAGCTTGTTGTTTTCCAAGTGTATTTTCGAATTCATCAGAGATTGTGACCCGAACATTCCACCAGGAGTTGAAGGCAGATGGCCGAAGTGCATCGATGAGCTGTTCGATATACCGTTTGAAGGCATAAGCCGGCGCTGAGATTGATATTGAGCTTCACGACGCCTTAAAAGTTGCGTGTACAAGCGACGCTGCTTACGGAAACTCCGTCGCCAAGGCAACCACCAGGATCTTGAAAATTGTGGCTGACCATCAATGGGACTAACCAGTTCACTAGATGATGCAAAAAAGTGAGGCTTTCGAGCCAAACGTGTGGTCGAGTTTGTTCGAAGCCAAGGTGACATGTTGGCCGCTTCTCCATTTTCAAAAGCCATTGGATGCGGATAGCCAGGGTTAAGACTGAAAGACGAGGCTAGCGAACGAGGCAGTTGTGTCCGCCAGGTAGGATGAAAACGGTCTACAACCACTGTGTCGGGAGTTCGACTGATTCCTAGAGATGATCCATGGACAATTGTTTGACGTGGAAGATCAGGGTAGGTGGCTGTAAGATTCTGACTCCATGGCGGTACACGCCATGGCTTGAATAGGTCCCACTTGCTCTTGTTCCACTTCCGTCGCCAGTCCATTGAGCTTATGGTCGGATAGTAGCTGTGTGTTGATTGGTTGAAAGTGCTTGCCGAACGTGTCATGCGATCCGGGAAGGAGGGAAATGTTTCGTTTTTGTGGTACTGAGCAAACAACCTGAAGCGGAAAGGAAATGGAATGAAGCAAGGGTCCAGGTCAGCTTCCAGTCATTCCCAACCTTAGCGTGATGACATGAAATACACACCAATGGGAAGGTCGCGTCTGGGTGTTGTCATATAAAATTGCGTAAATATTGTCAAACAAAACCTGATTTGGTTCGTTCACTTACGCGCTTCGACGTTCATATATCGAAATAATCAGAGTAATAGGGACCCGGAAACACTTGGAAACTTGTCGTTGATGTCAAGCTGACCAGTCTGGAGAACTGGATCTGGAGAACAGGATCTGCAGACCTATGCCACACGAACTAACTAACACTTTATTGACATCTGTAAAAACTTTGTCATCTGGAAAGATGCGAATTGAGACATTCAAGAAGCTGACTTCATCCATAGGTAGTAATTTGATGAAATAAACAAATGGCAGTTGCTGAAAACACCGAGCCCTGAATATCTGGAAATATGCATGTAGACTCGAATTCAAACTGAGCACGTAGGAAAAAGAAACAGGATACGGAAACACACTGTCCGTAAAATCGTGACCCACCTGTGACGGAGACTGTAGATAATGAGGATCACGGCCATTAAACAGATGAGAAATCCGAGGACCACTCCAACAGCAACTGTGAAGGGAGCAGAGAAGATGAACTGTCAACAACAGCTTTACGGTAGTTGTTTAGAGGGGTGACGAAATCTCAAGATGCACACATGCCAGCACAATCACGGTTTCAAGCGGTCGAAGATCTTACCAACAGAAATGGAACACATACAAAGCAAAACCTCCTTCAAATCTGTAAATGAAGCAACTAGGTTAGCTATTAGTACGCTAGATGTTCACGTTGTTCACATTACTTTCAGCGTTTCACTTAACAGCTTTTATTATCTATACTAAGCGGTAAAGTGGCCAGACTTACAAACAAGGATTACGATATACTCAGGTAGTCAGAAAAGGACCTTCTACGGATCGTACCATTGTTTCAGGCCTCGCACTTGGATAGGACGAGTGTGGTGTGAAGTGGGAACCCGGAATTATCCAAGGCTTTAAAAGTCGATGGCAAAAAGATATTGGTCACTCGAAGAACGGACCAAATCTTGTAAAGATGAGTATGAAACATTTTGAAATCTGTCTAGACAGTGTGTACCTCATTTGGAAACGTTGAGACACTGACTCGCCTCAAATCGCTTGAGAGCAAATAACTGACGAAATGTTCATCTTTGTTTTACCTTCCTCAGTGATCAACGCAGGAAATAAATTTACAGGTTAGCAGAGTGGAAACCAGATTCAAAAGAAAATTCAGATGCTGATAATTTCGAGGCTATCGCCAAAGCGAATACCTTTTGCACACTTCATACGACCGATTCTCTGCTGCCCGGATCAAATCAACAGTCGGAATTTTTGACTGAGTAACTAATGTCTGGTTGGGATCAGCTGATCGACCCGTGGTCAGCTGATTTACTTGTGGCCAGACGGTGCTGAGGACACTGCTTGTCATCCAGCTGATAGTCGCGTTGCTACTGGCAGTCTTTCGGCGCACACACTTGCCAATGTATCTCTAGCTACGATAGAAACTCAGACATACTGCAAGTGTCACAGTTCATCAGAGCGTTTAAATCTTGTAAGAAACTACATACAAGTTCGCTAAAAACCCTTCGTCGGCACACGATCGGTTTCACCCTTTTTGGTCGAAGAAGAAGAGTTTTGCCATACTTTGGCTTTTTGTGGGGATTAATCGAAGTGCCTGCTGATCTCATGCCATCCTGCCTATTCGCGGTTCATATTTGCGCTTGTGACATGGAAGCCTCATTTGGTGAGAACGCTGTTTTTGTCAGAGCAGATGACCTATGTTCTTTTGATGGAGAGTTCTTGAGACGGACCTCGCTGGATGATGGCTAGTAAAGGCGGGCTGTCCGAATATACAGCAGACTCAGTTCTAGGAGAAAATATGTTGTCATTGTTGAGGAAAAAGCAGTTATCTTGCGAGTACCACTTAAGGCTGACCTTAAACTTGCAGGCATCCGACACACATTACCAACCACCTAAGACCACAACTTTTCGATTGTACAACGAAAGATTATCTATCCCATCGCAGATCTTACATTTCCTGCTACTTTTATGCATCCATTTGATTGGCGCGGGATGGCTCAGTGGTTAGAGCACGAATGTACTGACCGGGAGATTCGTGGTTCGAACCCGACCTCTGCCTCTCCCCTATCTAAGCTTGGGCAACCTGGCAGTATCCCAGTCTTCGTGCTTCCTTCGGGTGGCATGGCAGTTAGGTACCAAAAGGCTGAACGATTATCCGTATTTATCTTATCATCCTGTTCATTCATAGTTCCAGTGACACTTCCATTTGCTGAAAACGCTCAAAAGTACCTGCCACGCGGGATGGGAGACCGGTCATCAGATTGGCCACACGAAACCTAACACCATCGATTGCAAGAAATCCTCACCGCAGATCAATCAACGGATCTGAGTGAGTCATTCCAAGATCCTATTGCCCAACTGTGGCGACGATTAAATTGAGATGACTTGTAGAATCGACCCAAAACGTACTAGCCGAGTACGTCCGTTTACTTTTATGGTACTGTGAGAACGTTCCACTTCTCTGACTGCTTCCAGTCGCCATTTTCGTTCTTGTGCTTTCTAGTTAAGAGGAAAGGGCGACATCCAACCAAGTGTGTCCTCCCACTGTTTTCACCGAGTCCGTCTTAAGTAAGTTGCACCATTTAACTGCGATGTTCAAATCATCTTGAGTGTTAGGACAGCCCACATTGAAAACCTAAGTTCTTCCCGCATTCTGATATGCTTTGGATGACAATAAACGCTGTGGGACATACAGCCGAAATTGAATCAAAATGCCACCACAAAACTTCTCATCTCCGGGAATTTTATGATATAGTTTCCTATGTCTAGTACAAAGTCACCTCGTTACGTTTATCGTCCTCCATCGACTATCAAAACTTGAGCAACGCCGTGCAGAATATCAGCATCATCGAAAAACACGGAATGTTTACTGGGCAGACAATTATGTAGGCCTCTTTAGGCAGTCGCATTGCACGTGCCAGTACCATGCGGATGCACACAAAACAATCGCGAAGCATGGCCAGTCTGGAAATCAACCTCCCGTCATGCAACATACCATGATGGGGAGAAGAACGAGATCATGGCGGATAAACTTAGCATGCAACGAATTCGGCTATCAAGAAATAACTTATCCGATGCAATGGCTGGACATTCAACAAGAGCCATCCAGTCTACTTAAACTTTCACAGGGACTTCAAGGTCAGGAAGGCGAGCAACAAAAGAGCGTACAACACCCAAACATTGAGGATAAGACGGAAAACACATGCAACAAACCAAAGATCTTGGCTCGGAGAATGGTGGCCTTGGAGATACTAGTAACGGATAATAGAAAATAAGAAACGTGACATATTCTCCAAGTCAAGGACGCCAAAAATCGAATCTTAGTTTGCAGGCAACGTGGAACTTTTGAACATTCAATCAACGTCTTATGCTGCCATCGAAGTGAACCCAAGCTGAAAAGTCGAGAAGCTCCTCAAAGTTGCTGTAACTTAGGATCAAACAGCGGTGCGAGGCTTCTAGACTGAGTACTATACGCGAATAGGGGAGCTTTGAGAACGTCAAAGTCTGTACCACTTATGGCTAGATCTATATATGTATATGGTGTCCACTGAAAGCAAGAACAATGTTTGTTTTGAAAATAAATATGAAAACACCCAGGATAGGAAAGCTAAGCCTCCTCCCCATCAATTGCTTTGGGAACAGGAGGCTTCTGTGAGCTGTTTCATAACTTTGTTTGCACGACCAAGTACCAACCGACAGGTCCGCGTGACTTAGGAAGCTGGATTGAATGTAAAGTTTGGCCACACAAGGGAAAACTGGGTTTGTTGCTCCTGGGTACCTCCTGTCTCCACCTGATTTGTTTCGGTCAATATGAAATACACCGTGGGCCAAGGTTTTTCGAGACCCAGTCATATCCTAACTACAGACGAACGGTTTGACTCCGACTCCATGGATTGGCAAATATCGAACCCTTTTCTAAGGTCGGCGACTCTTCAGACAAAATAATAAGATTCGCTGCGAGCAGCCTGAGGACGAGCTGATTTGTCTAACACAAATTACTGGCTGTCAGTTTTTTCTCTTTTCTGATTGTAGACTACTGATAATGTATCATAGTAGTTAAAACAAAACCATTAAACGGGACAGGAAGTAGAGTAGGTTGAAAAAATAACTCGATATCTTGATTGAAACGAAATCCGAATGGAAGGTGAGACGACTTTCGTGCAGTGCCTTTGATTAACGATTGTTCTAAATGAGAGAATAAGCTGATAGGAAGTTGAATCTCTCATCAACACCAAGTTAGTTTGCAAATAAGTGTATAAACTCACTTTCATAAAACTGGATTTGTTTGGTGGAAACTCGGAAACACTACATCTACCCGAGAAGTTTCAAGGAAGGTAACGGGTTGCTGTAGAGTTTACAGTGATCTTACATTTGTGATGATGGTTCCGACACCACTAAATATCAAAACAGGAGTGCGAGCATGCGGTTCCACTGAAGGCAGTCGTGGCAAGTGATGTAAGGTAACAGCTGTGGGACCAGTGGTGGACTGTTTTACACCCAACTGCTGTTCTGTCACCTAAACTAATGTTGACTCACTTCAAAAGGGTGTACATCAGCAACTCAGCTGTAGTCTTCACACAGGAGACGAATCCGCCTGGATACGTTCAAACTTGTCAAAATAAAGATTGGCCTTGAACCTTCACAAATAACTTTGTGTTTACTTGTGAAGTAGAATGGTGCTGTTGGTGCAAGTAAGCTGGTTACCAGGAGGGGGAGGGTCACTTCCTCCGAGGATAATGTTTTTTTTCAAAATTAGTTCTTCCAAAAGGACACCCAAGAATGAGGTCACTTCCTCCGAGGATAATGTTTTTTTTTCAAAATTAGTTCTTCCAAAAAGGACACCAAGAATGAAGTGGAGATAATTTAAGGTTTTATTGATGGGTGATTTATCCTCCCCTCAAGGGGATGATCAACTAAGAACATCATCAAGTACAATGATGCTCACGCACGCCCAGTTCATCAGATCGTTTATTTGCTCAGGCATATACGCGCAAGGCTGCTAAAGTACAAAACCCTGACATACCCCACATACAAATGGATTCGTCAAGTGCAACAAGTTCAGGACAAGAATCATTTCCAGCAAGAGATCTTTGTACCCCCTTGAGACGGAGTAATGCTTCCTCATCATCGGCGAGAAAAAATTATCCATTACAGCATTAAGTACATGTTCGGCTGTCAGTTCATTCTATCACCATCTACTAGCCTGATCAGAATTCTGAGGTTGCAAAAGTACCATGGAAAACCTATCAACGAATTTTCAAAGCTCCTGTTTCGGTTCTGACATTCTAAACTCATTTCAGTCCCTTTGCTTTCCACATGGTAACTAGTCGGGTGTTCTAAACTTCACGTGTTAAGTTCAGTTACAGTGCCAGTCAACACCTGTGAATATAGATCTCAAACGATGTGGTTTAAAATGCGAGCAACCAACCGCCCGTCCCACAAGCCTGCCACCCAAGAGAAGCACGAATTCCGACCGTG